GTCTAAGCTCGAGTAGCTGAGGAAAGCTTCTTCTTCCTCTCACACTTCAATTTTTGCTGTCCAAATCGAGCATAGAGAATGCCCTCCATTCAGCTTTAATCTTCTTTGGCTGTCAGTCTAGCTATAACCTGCAGTCCTTCATCTTTTAATACACACTCTACCTTTTCCCTATAACTTGCCCTTCATCAACACCCACAACAATTCTGGCAATTCTGAAAAATATTCAGCATAAATTTTAACGCTCCAGCCATCAATTTTATGCACACTCGCCTCACAGCGCCGCACTAACTCATAAAAATGGGTCTATAAAAGAAAATTTTCAAAAATTTGCGCCACACGCACACAATGTGCGAGAGACAACAAAAAACATCTCTTTGCATGTGGAAAAGGCTTTGTAAAAGCCACCAATGAGATTTATATACATACTCTAAAGCTTAGACAAACGCTTTCGCACACTCACACTTACACACAGACACACAAGCACACATACATACTCGTATAGTGAGGCCTAAGCGTGGGAGCCTATTTATTGTTGCTCAGCGTGCAAACAAACGCGTCATGCACAAACGCAAGTTTCTTTCCCAGGCAGGTTTATTTGACTGGTGGGCTGTCTGTCTGGCCAAATCCGACAAAGTAGCGAACCGCGCTCTTAAGTGGCACACACACACACAAACACACACACAGCAACATATACACGAACTCGAATCTGCATACGAGAACAACGCACTGGAGACTGTGGGCCAAACAGGCTATTTATTCTACTAAAAATGCAATAATATATCATCCACAGTTTATCATTGCTATGACGCCAGACTGAAATTATTATCCAACGAATTTATTGCCACACAATAAGCGACAAATGCATGTGTATGTGTGTGTGGTGTGTGTGTGTGGTATGTGTGTGTGTATGTACGACAATGCTTGGCAGCACACTAACAAATACGTAAATATACAAGTATTCGAACAACAACAAGAACATTAGCAGAGTAGCAGTTAGAAAGCGTTGGATGGCAGCCATTTTGACGCGACCAACACAGCCTTACATACCCACACACACACACACACACACACACACACACACACACACACACATTGATGCAGGAATCGCGCAAATATGGCGAGTATTTGTAATAAAATTGTTCGCATGTTTTCTCTTCCACTCTATCTCATATTTTTTCATACTGCGTGCCTTCTATATCATTTTATATATTCATAGCCATCTCGAGCGATGTCACAGGCTGCACCCAAGTTGATGTGCGCATATTTTTTACTATTAGTAGTACGGCCAATGATAACTGGGCAAAGGCAAAGTTTGTCAGTGACAACTAAAAGCCAAAATCAAATTGTGCGCCATGTCCATGTGAACTTTTTGCACAACAATCTCGTTTTATTTTTTATCCCTTTTCATTGACATAGTGGTTGGATAGATAGCTAGCGATTCCGAGAACTTTGTCAGTTGAGCTTGTCAGCTACTGGTCCCACAATTTCTATGCCACGTTGTGTTTCATTCTGTAGTGCTTCATATTTATGCTTCACCCTTTGGCTATTTTTATGACAAGGCATCATCAACATGTTTTTCCCGTTCGTCACATAGTTTTGCAGCAACAAGAAAAAAATAACTACTAACTGGCCAAGAAGAGCACAGACTGGTGTGAGCAATTCGACAGAATTGCCACACACTTTGCGCATAAATGACAAATGCCTTTGATGGTATAAAATATGGCTTTGAAAATTGTTTTGCAGCAAATAAACAATAACGGCTGGCTTCTGAGCGGGCCGCCTGGCACATTCTCGTAAATATCAACTGCATAAAGGCAAAGGAATATACTATAAAATTTGTTCATGTTTTCCACAAAATATAAGCAAAAATATTTCTGAGAAGGGCAATGTGTGCCTTCAAATAAGAAAACAATAATTGACTGATATGAGGGGGAAATATATTTTCAATTGTGTGTCGTAACTGTTGATAGGATTAGGAACTTTTTAAATAGGTATTTAAGAAATTATACTATAATTTCCTCATGAATCTAAGTCCTGTGTATATTTTAATACTTTTAACCTATTTTCATATGAAAGAATTCCAATTATTGTTCGTAAGTACAGTACGTAAGTGCAATAAAGCGATAAAGCTGATCATTATATTAATTAGCAATATATTTGAATTATACATTTTTTAAAGCGAGGAAATTATCGTTTTTTTTTACGAATTTCTCAAATCATAAAAAACGTTTTCTGATTAAATACTAGATGGGCGAGAAGGAACAGGCACAGAAAATACATTTTTCATTTTCATATTTTCTCCGAAAAACATATAAATTATGGATACTTAGATTTGAAAAAGAAAATGGATTTTCTATGCAAAAGAGAACCCATTTACTATTTGCATTTAATCAAGTAATTTATTATTTTAAGTTCAACAAACAAATATACTTATACAGATAGCCTAACACTTTCTGATTATCGCACCCATTAATACCCTTACAACTTTATATACCCTTAAAACTTTATAAACTAATGGAAGTATCATGTGCCTTGCAGGATTAGGAGCTTCAACTATTTTAATGTGCTGTGGTCATATAAATATAAATACAAGTATATTATATATTAAGGCCCCAACGCACTAATTTTATATACAAATTCTTAAATTGCACAAATCCAAGCAAATGCAATAAATTATCTTCATTTGTTGTCAGTGAACATTGATTGTATCGGATTATTTGCTAAGTATTTGAACTTGAACTCTTCTGAACTCTTCACATATCAGTTTCATTGCACAAGTCTAGACTGCAATTTTATTCCAGACTTTTATGCCATTGCTTTGACTTATTTGACTGATGCTTAGTTAGGACATCTGTCTCAATTTAGGCGCAGCCAGCTAAGCTTTTTTGCTTCGACAAATAATCGTGCAATATGTATGTACGAGTAAATGTATATGTACAGCACACCATTTCAAATCGATACGATTCAGCCCCAGTCAGCACATTAATTTGTTTGAAAAAAAGCTCGCCATATTGACAATTGACTTGTCAAGACATCAATTACGTTTGACAATGCAACCTCACCCCATATTAAACGATTTACAAGCTTTGCATTAAGCCGAAATTTAACTTTGCTGTTTCATTATACCGCAGAGCCCCGACCACTTACTTTTCTCACATACGCTTACAATTATGGTGAATAAATTCGATTGTAAATGGGTGTGATAAATAATCAATGAGGAAAAGCTAATCGTTTATTTTAGAGGAAATGCATTAGTTAGCGCTTTTCAAAGCAAACGTCAAAAGTAAATGCCACAAATCTACCGTCTGCTCCCTTCCTCCAGGTCGCCAGCATGGAAAACTCCCACGTAACTGCACCCACATTTACACACACCTACACACATAAATACAGCTGCCAAGTAAACATTACACAATTTTGATTGTATTTCCGTTTCATATGCGCAACATCAACAACGATAGGAGGTGGAGTCGCAATGACGTCGACGGAAGTTGCGCTCATTTCCGTTTGTTTACCTTTTACGCTGTACCTTGATTAAATGTCAGACCTTGTAGGTGGATGGGGCTGGGCTGGGCGGATGCTGGGTACTGGTTCTGATTCTGACTCCGGGACTCGGGCTGATATTCGTGGGCAGGTTTCAGCTTTGCGGTGGCCTTGATATTGTTGTACAACATGCAAGATACTCGTACTACATATGAGCATAATTGGATTTTGTCATTTTTCGCGAGTGCTTCGGCACAGCTGTCAAATGGGCGACCACTCAATCATTGACACGTTGATTGCTAGAAGGCCGCAGCAATTAAGAAGGATAAATAAAAAGGTTCAGTATGAGAGTGAGTTGATTAGGCGCATGCCCAGGCAATTAGGGGACAAAACGCGTTTACGCGTTTGCTACCCAATGCCCTTGGAGAGTTGAACGAAAAGAGGAGGACGGAAATAATCCAGATAGACAAGTCCAAAATTAGTGGTGCCATGAAATGTAATAAGTACATGTGCAGCATTATCTAAGGATTAACTAATGGTATAACTATAAAAAAATTAATATTAAATATAAATACTAAGAGGCAGAAAATTGTACAAGCATTGCAAAAATGTAATTTTAAAATGGAATAAAAAATGTAGTAACACATGCGAATAAAACAAACTTAATTCAACAAAAAGCACTGTTTTAGTAAGCTTGTAAAAAAAAGCTCATTTTACTGAACTTCAACAAAAAACAGCAAATTTTCTAAACTTCAGAATGATTTTGAAAAAATTTGATTGTGTATCTAATAAATCTATGTATATTCTCAAGTCAATAGTTAAATGCAGCTTAAATTTGACATCAAATGGATATTCTAAGAGCCACACGAAAAGGAGCAATTTTCAAGCAAATTAAAGTATTAGTATTATGAACCACCCAGTGGGTAACGTACTAACTTTTTATTCATCCCCAACAAGATTTTAAAAAGAGTTGAGGAGTGCTTCTTTTTATGCTTCTCTTAGGACATATGCAATTTGGTGCACGGGTATGCTTAGTAGAAAGTAAAGAGAGAGGAAGATTAACAACTTGGCATTCCAACTGAGCCTTTTGTCCATAACCTGTGGCCACGGAAATTAAATTTTCCTTCCAGGAAACCAATTTATCCACAGGCCGTGTTTTTCCTTGTGACATCGAATAATCAGCAAAAAACAAGAATGGAATGCTGTAGTTGTGCGCGCCTAACATTTAATAACACTGTATCACTACCAAAAATTAAAAAAAAATGTTAATATCCTTTCTCAAAGGCTTGTAAGTATGCAAAAGCATTTCAACCAATGCAGCAACAACCAAAGCCGTTGGCAGAGCATAAACTGAATTTACCATAAACGTGAAGCTTGGCAGGAAGGCAAACAACGCTAACAACATGTCACAATCCATATAATATTTGTCTAAGTAGGACCAAGACAAAAATACAAATTTGTCCTCCTTAAGGCTACTTAAGGATATTATTACCAAGCTTGCAGATCATGCTTTCATAGAAAAGGATGAGCGAACTGACGGTTAACGCTATTCAAGCTATTCGTCAAGCACATACTTATGTGCTTTGGAGATAGGGTATAAAAAAGTAAGCATAGCAATAGTTGCTTAGCAAAACCGACAATAGAACAATAGAACTGTATCCAACATTTTCATTGAAACGTCATGGCGGAGACCAAAATGCAAGCGATGGAGCAAATTTTAAGTCGGCCCCGTCGACACATGTCCTTTTTAATCGGACAGTATGAAGTGAGTATGAGAAAAATGAATAATTAATTCAGAAATGATTTTACACTTTTCGTGCTCAGACGCAATGCTACTACAGCCAAGAGTTTCTCACAAACCAAAGCGAAATATGCGCCTTCGTTAAACGTACACCCAGCTGCAGCTTCTATGTCTACTATATGGATTATTTGAAACTTATATTTTGCACTTTGAAATTAGAATGGCATACCATATTCTTTGCTGTTGCGGTCTTATTCATTCTTGTTGAAATGTGCATAACATATATGATTGCCAAGTATTTGTAAGTATTTGTAGGCCATGAAATGCAACACCTATTCTTATTTAACCCTTGCCCTCCCCAAGTCTACTGCCCAACTTCCTAACGCTAATGTCAACTGCGCCTATTTCGCCATATGCCTTCTGCTTCACCTGCTCTTGTCTGCTGCTCCACTTGCCCGAGTACATCAACGTCGTAATGGGCTGTGTATATTCGAGGACATATGTGGCGTCCTTGGTTCTGGCGCGGACGCAAGGCGACCTTATGCGATGTTTTAGCGTGGGCATAATGCTACTCTGCGTCGATGGCTATCGCGTCAATGGATTAACACTTTGGGGCAACATGATGTTCATAATAGTGGGCCATTTCTACCTGCAAATTGTGGTGAGCAAGAAATATGAACTATTTAAGCGGCCCGATCTGCCCATCGAAGAAATGTATATGTTGAATTTTCGCGCTCAACTGTTTCTCTTCGTCCTTATTGTAATTTTTGTGGTTGTGCTGCTAGTCTCTTATTTGCGGCAGAGGCATAAACGCAAAAAACCAATTAAGGCCTCTGCCTCAGCAGTCTCCCTAAGTGAAAATAGCATTCAGGATGATCCGATAAGCGACACTGAAGTGCAAAGTGTTCACGAGAGCACCGAACTAAGTGCCTGGCAGCTATGGTGGGATACGGTCAACGGATATAAGCGTATGCGCGATAACAATAAAACTTTAGCCATCTTATTGGTAAGTTACAGCTAGCTGTTTGGGAACTACCCTCTAATTGAAATCGATCAGACGCCTATCTACTTTAGCTGTGCCTGTTTTGTGCCGGTGATGGACAAAGAACGGGCCTTGCACGGCTGGTGCAAGGCCGTGGTCTGCACTGCCTACATTACCTTTCCATTCCTGTTTATACCTTTCAAGCCGATTTCCGTGCAATGGACCATGCTGGTACTGTCCTGCTGGTTTGTCTCTTTCCTAATCCTTGTCGCCACAAAGGCACGCCAATGTCCCAAACACTTGTGGTTCTATTCATTGACGGGTGTATTTATGGTGACTATCACGACTCGATTCTTCACCGACGAGGTCGATAATCTGATCTGGCAAATCGTCAGCATGCAATTCCATGCATCTCCAAGCTTAACAAACCTGATATTTTTCGGAATAGATGATACCCTTATCGTCGTCGTGGTGCTTAATCATCTGTTAAAGACGGAAATGCTGGATGCGGCCTTCGGTATTGTTATGAGCTTGGCCACCTACTCCGTATACCTAGCGGTGCCTGAGCTGGTTCTCCACAAGTGCTATAACCGAGATGTATTTGTGAGTGTTTTGTTTTTTATGAATGTGTATTTTTTATTTCATTCGAATTAATTCCTGCAGATTATGATTACTCCATATACGGAAACATGCATGGTTTTCACGCCCATTCTCTTAGTCGGCAGCTTGCTACATATCTCCATGTGCGGATACGAGTTACGCTTCTCGCTGTTCGTATACTTGCTCGTATTTCTCATATCCTACGTTATTTTCCAATGGATGTCGCATTTAAATTGGGTACATGAAATGGGCACATTGCACAGGATAACACCACCAAGGGAGAGTCCAAAATTCTGGGCATAAGTCAATATTGTTTTTAGTTTTAAGTCTTTAAGCAGAACAAATAAATTATGCAAAATTGTATATGATGGATATAAATATTAACCATTGCAGGTGAAAAGTACAAATTTAAATACCAATTTCATAGGAAAAATAATACAAGTATTCAAGAAAAAGTTGTAAGTAAAGCTAGAGGTCAAAGAAAATACTCTTAAAGTACTCTTCAAATCGATATGAAATACCACAACCGAGGTAATTATTGCTAACAAGCGGGCTAACGACATTTGGAACAAATGGTCTACAAATAAGTAAATAATTGTTGAGAAATATCTTACTAAAGACCGACAAACTAGAAAACTTGTATTTAAAAAAATGAATAAGATTAAAATATAAACGCAGTGAGAAAATAAATTGGCATGCAATCAGAACACCGTGCTTCTTACAAAAATATCTGTATACTTGTATACTAGATTTTTCCCCCAGCTATTCCTATCCATATTTAATCCCAGACTATTGCCGCAAAAGTAGCTTTAAAATAAACTTAATAAGCAACACACAATGTATTCATGCATTTGTGTTCAATTTACGTTGGTCCATAAAAAATAGAGCATAATAAATGAACACAAGATATTAAATTCCGCTTAAATCCATTTACTTTCAAAATACACACACTTTGTGGAAAGATTCTACTAGTAGAGCCACTAGAGCCACTTTAACCGGTCAATTAAAGGATGAATTCGTTGTTGCTGCAAATTAAGTTTATTGTCATTTAAATATCATGGACACACATAATAGCAGGGGCATGCAATGCATTTTCATTATTAACAATAAACAAACACATGCGGTATGTGCGTAAAGGCCAAGACCGCAGAGTATGTAGTATGTAGTATGTATGTATGTATGTAGTATGTATGTAGTATGTAGTATGTAGTATGTCTGTGGAAAGAATACACAATAAAAATGAATGGCAATTGCTTTAAGCCCAACTCTTAAGCTCGTTAAGTGCTATCGGGGGGTACTTATGTAAATATGATAAGTATTTCGAAACAGAATTGATATGAGAAATATTTATTTATTGATTTATTCAGTTATTTATTGCACTATATTTGAGTTAGCCAGTATATCCGGTTTATCGAGGCTTCACCGTGTTCAGCATTAATTTAATGCAGCTTATTAATTGCGTGGAATTTGTGCGAATGCGCCAAAGAATGGCATGCATAAGTGTGCGGAAATGTGAACTACAAGTGGGTCACAGTCTTTGTGGTGCGGGTGGTTGCGGGTGGTTGCGGGTTTTGTGGTTTCTGGCTGTTGTTGCTGCTGTTTGTCATAAATATGATATGCCAAATGTTTGTTGTTTATTATTGTCTGTTTGTTCAACTGCTGTTGTCTGCTGCGCATGCTTGGTCATAATTTATGCCAGAAAATGTTGGTTTGTCGTATATTTTTATGCTTATTTGCTTGTTTGCTGCCGTCCTGGCATATACTATGTACATACAAGTATATATACGAATGCTTTATTTACCAAATTTATTTGTCTGCCGTCCTCTAACACGCATTTGCATAATTGTTGCGCACACATGTCGCATGCACACATCCCATATATACTATATATACATATTTATGCACTTGTTTTTGAAGTATTTGCCTATGAATTAGACAGCCTATTGGCTTTAAATATTCTGCACTACCAATGGTATATTGTGATGCTGCTGATGTTGCTGATGTTGCTGGTTCTGGTGTCGCTGCTGCAGACAAACTCTGTCTAGGCCATATATTATTCACGCTCGTTGCCAGCCATGACTGCACATTTATTTTTAGTGCACAATTTTCATATAACTCTTCACAATTTTGTTTTCGGAAATTTATGACGTCGCTTTTGCTCGTATGATAAACATTTTGCTGCCTCAATCCTTTTGCGTTCCCGGCAACCACAAAACCCCAACTCAATTATTTACGCCACTCCAAATTTGTACTCAACTTTGCGCGAACTTTCAACTTTTAGCGCGCGCGCAAATAAAAATAAACCATTTAACACGCTTGACAACAATTTAATAGTAGCATTTCAAAATTTTCTCTCTTTTGCTGCCCGCTTTGGTGGAAATGAAAGCGTAAATTTATTTTAGCAAGTTATAAGCATATATTAGCCATTTAAGTAAGCAGGAATGGCACGACAACGTATTTACACTGAGAGGAAAACAAACGTATACATCATGTACTATATCACTTGATATAGATTCGTATTCCTTATATTTGAGGCACAAACGGAGCTTTTTTAAGCAATATTTAAAATATGATATGTGAGTTATAAATGAATCAATACTTTGACATCTCTTAGCTTTTTACAGCTGGAACCTTTTATTTAACTTTATATTTAAAGAATTTATTTATTTATTTATTTATTTAGAAAATCAAGAAATAGTGCTGTCGATACAAATACGAAAACTATGATTTATATTATGATATAATATTATAAAATAAAATTAAGATATTTAATAACAACACGTTATAATTTCAACTTAAAAAATGAGTGGTGTACTTATTAGTGGAAGCTCATACTTTTACGAGGCAATATTTTGTTAGTGATAAGATTTTCCTTGTAAACTCCAAATATTGTTATTGGCATCAAAATGAAAGACAATTTGATTTTATTCACGAAATAAATAATTATACTTGTAAATACCTTACCAATACCAGAAAATTGTTTATTTCTTTCATATTATTATATGCATTAACTAGTGTACTATAGTTTTGTTTATATACATAAAATTAATTTTAATTTCTTAAAATCGAATTATTATTTTATTTTTAAATGTAATTTTTTATTTTACAGTTTTTACTAAAATTTCTCGAGAAACTGATGTTAAGCTATTTTTTATACTGGATTTATTTTGTTTTATTTAAATGTCTAATTATGTTCCAATGGGTCTTACTGCAAGGATTTTCCAAGCGAGCAAAGAAATCGGGTGTTCCATTGCAATCGCAAAGCACAACCATTTTTCTTCCCAATTTGAAGTTCGACGTTGAAAAACTGAAGATTTTTGAAACAAACTTTGGAGCTCGTTTTCCCCCCTTTGTAGCTCGAATTTCCCAAAATCCTTCTTGGTGCGCATCTGCACTATGAAACGATACTTGAGTCAAAATTTAAGCTTCCTAGCTTTTACAGTTTGTTCTGGGCGTTGATCACCAATCAGTCAGTCAGTCAGTCAGGACAAAGTTTTTAAATATAAAGATTGTGAACATAATTAATAATATTACCCTTCATTGCGGTATTACACTATGAATTCCCTTTAAGAAAATTCTTTTCGCCCACATGGCATTCTGCTTTTCAAAAATGTACAGATATGAAAACCGATTTAATTTTAAACATGCAATCACTCGTATATGTGGGCTCGCCACTCCTCAATATACTCGCTTCGTATGTATCTCAGTGTAGTGCGAGAAAGCAACATTCTAGCTCATTGAAGTGTTTCATAATGTTTGAAGTAGGAAAAAGAAAAAAGCCGCTGCTAACACTGTCCCGAAACCTCAACTCATTTTCCTATAAAAGGACGCCAAAGTGGCGCTCTGGCAAAAGGCCAAATTGGCGCACATCTGCACACACACACAGCAATATATACATGCAGATGGCCTTATGTATATAAACACGTACATGACTTCATATAGAGACGTTGCCATTTACTCGTGCATACATATATACATATGTATGTAGTAAACAATAAATGTATGCTGCCAGCACCAGAGACCAACTAAATTATCACTAATATGGCGCGCGAGCGAACGTTAAGCGGACTGTTATAGAGAAGGCCAGGAAAGCTGTGCTCGTAGTATGTATGTATATGTATGTGTGTATGTGTATGCTTCTGGTATATGGGTGTTAGTGCTGGAAGCTGAGCGTGCCAAATAAACACATCAGCTAAAATGCTTTTTACTTAAATTAACACAATGCCGAGCAGCTTGCTTAGATTTTCGGCAAAAGGGGTTCGACGGGCTCCAGTTTCGGCAACTAAGCGGCCTTAGTGTTGGGCAAGTCATTAGTTGCTCCAGCACGAGTGTGGGTAAATGGTTTTTATTTTTTTTTATTTTCGTATTTTTTATTTATTTATTTTTTTTTTTTGCTATTGTTGTTTGTTTATGGTCTCTAGGATGCTGCTTGCATAGTACAGCAAAGGCTTAGGGCAGCATATTGAAAAACACAAATCGGAGGTAAAACGGATGAGCAGAAAATCAATGAAAGCAAGTCAAATTTGCGTGTGTGTGTGTGTGTGGGTGTGGGTGTGTGTATTTGCTAAAGTCATGTTGTGCTTAACCCATGTTTGAAAAACAAATGTCAGATATGAATAAAAATGTGCGAGTGCGATTGTTTCCAAATACACACCATAAAGCACCATGAAGAAAAAAGTAATGCAATTATTCTTTAAAATTAAAAAACTAAAAACTTAATGTCTAAATGTAAAAAAGTGAATTTTTAGAGACTTGGCTCATACCGAATTTTGCTTTGAATACGGAAAATGTCATATTAAAAACACAGTCAAAATCGCATATCAAAGCCATATCTTATGAACTTAATATCTTTTACAGTTATATTCAGAGCCGATCAAATTGTTGACTCATCAATGTTTAAGAGTATCATCATATTTGATTCCATAAATAAAGCAAAACATATAATAAATATGTCATATATCTATTTAAAGACGCTAAAGAACAAGAATATGTTTTTTCCATCCATTAAAACCATCAATATTTAATAATGCTCTTGCATAGGGTATATCTTGTATATCTTATTTGCTTTCTCAAAGCATTGCCGTTAATGGGTTAAGCATCATCTGTGCTTCATATACACACGCGCTAGTATATACACACCCACACATTCACATTCGCATGCGAGCGTGTATTTGCCATACAAAATGGCGCCTTTGCCTCTTTATTTTGCTTCGCTTCTTCTATGCTTGCCAATGCTGCAACCGTCTTATCGGAAATGTCTATCAATGCCAAAATGTGCTATATCCTCACCAACGAAATCAGTATACAAAAAAAAAAGAGAGAGAAGAAAAACAGAAATATCACGCATTTAAGGGATTGAGCAA